AGACCTTTACGGTAAGCGGGGCACATTGGCAGAGATGTGGATATTGGCACTTGCGTCAAAGTCGTCCTCTGTCCGAGGGATGGAGGGGCCCAGGCCCTGGCACTTCAGCCTGGTGGAGAGAGAAGACCAGGGACTCGAGGGTGCCCCCTGGGGGGCGCTCAGCTTTGTTTTGAAGCGCAGCTGTCAGAACTGGGCCTGGCCTGCGGAGGACACTGAACGCATTATTTATTAAATACGTGAGTTGAAAATACATGGGACTGGGAAACAGGACAAAGTAATAACAGTAGTTAACACTGACTAAGCACTACCTCTGGTCTAGGGACACTCAACACTGTCCTGGTCTTGGGGACGCAGGAGGGGACCAGCTAGGCAAGGTGCCTACTTGCATTTTGATGATGGAGGCCAGTTGAGACCAGTCCACAGGGTTACTCCATCCATCCTGGCACTGCTGTTGTTCCCGGTCCACGGACGAGGAGACCGAGCTTCAGAGATCCGTGCACTGGCGGCGGGACACAGCACCAGGCACTGGCAGGCCGCCGTCACTTGAAGGCCCAGGTCTGGTTTTGCCCCTCTGAGCCATGTGGCTGTGCCTAATTGTCACCGAGCCTTGTTGTGAAATGGGGGTCTGTAAAATGTGGTTAAAGTGACCCATCGCTGGGATGAGACGAAGTCTCCAAAAAGATGTACCGTTTGTTGGCTCACTAGGGACCTCTGACCTCTGGCTCATCCTCTGGGTTGACACAGAGTCGGGAGACTCTGCTCCCAGTGGACAGGGTCTTGTTCAGGGCCCAGAGCATTGCCACCCCGCTTCCTCAGCCCCCTGTCTCCATCATTCAGGGGGTGGAGGGTGTGTCCACAGAAGAAGGAAAGGGGCCCCTGCAGGAGCCTCAGATGGCTGATGGGGTGTGTGTCCTTGGAGAGGTACAAGGTCAAGACTCCGCCAGCCCCACTGGGGAGAGCTGGTCCTGAATGGGGAGCAGGGGTGGAGGGTGAAGGGATAGAGGACTGCGTGCCCGCTCTGCCGCCCCAGGGCTGCTGCGTGGCTGTGGGGCACGCGTTCTTCCTCTGAATGACTACAGGCTGTGAAGCTTCAAGTAGCCCTAAGGGCCTGTGCAGAGCTGGCGGACCCTTTGTAGTTGCCCCAAAGGTCATGCTGTGGCTAGCAAACTTGAGCCGGTCAACCTGAGGCCAGGTGGAGACAGAAAAGCCCAGGAGAGTCAGGGCTGAGCAGGGCAGAGTCAGGGCCAGGGCAGGCCCACGTCATGGACCCACCCCCAGCGCTAGCCCCACCAGCTGGTCCAGGTAACTTCCTGCCAGCATCTGCTTCCCTCCTTCCTCAGAGGAAGCTCTGGCCCTGCCCCACCAACCTCCCTCCTGCCCCAGACACTCTGTCTCCCCACCAGCTGGCCCATCCACTTCTAGGGTGGGAGCATGTGCCTGGAGACCCGGGGGCTTCCTTCATCATTTCCTGGAGCTTGTCCTGGGGCAGGGCCACCATGCCTATGTTCTGCAGCTCATTCAGCATGCGCTTCACAGCCGGGGCCTGGAACCTGGCGCTCCTTAATAGGCAGCCCGGGTGCCAAAGTACAGCATGTGCCGGGGCTGGGGCCCTTTGCTTCCTTGTGCAACTGGATGGAGGGTCCCCATACTTGTCTTGGGAGGTTGGGGGAGGGAGACAGAGTCCCACATTGAACTCCAGAGCCACAGGCCCAACCTCCTCCAAAGCTCACTTTAAGGGTTTAGAATCATCAGACCCCCTAAGAGCAAGTAGGAGATTTTTACAAAGGGGAAAGCAGTAAGAGGTTCTTGCCCAGAGAACGTTTAGTGTCACCAAGGGGCGTGGAGCCTGCAGTCTGCTTTGACATATACTTTGAGACTTCTCTCTTTCCTCTGGCTCTGGACAGGGGGCAAAGGTGTGGATCCCCACCCACACCCCATTGCCCCCAAGGCCCCTGAGAAGAGCAAGGGAAGGAGGGGCTGGGATGTAAGTGGTACCACACCACCTGCTCCAACTTTTTTTGGTGATGTTGGTGACATAATTCCAGGTGGCCTCCATGAACTGGTTCCACACAGTCTGGGCTGTGTGCTCATAAAACTGCAGCAACGACCACCACAGTGTTACTGTGGAGCTTGTCTGCAGAGAAGGAGGTGGGCACCATGCTGTCCTGGGAGCAGCCTGCCCTTGCCTGGTCCCCTTGTCTGAGCCCATGCACCTGCGGCTCCCAGCCCCATCTGAGCCCTGTTCACCCTCGGTTCTGAGCCGTGGCAAGAGCTGCCCCGTAACAGAAGAACACAAGTAGGGCAGGCCCAGGGCGAGTCCATTCTGTGCCCATGACCAAGAGAACAAGAAAGCTGGGTGAGGCTGTAAGCCAGTCACGACCCGGCTCCACGTTGTGACGTCAGGGGCTGAAGGGTCAGCTAGGGAATGCTGGAGTTGGAAAGCCCCACCCACCTTCTGGTTCAACTGTCCCCATTTTGCAGTGAAGGAGCCGGAGATCCAGAATGGTGAAGTGCGTGACCTGGGTCACAGAGCTAGTTAGTGGCAGAGCCGAGAGGAGAACCAGGGTTCTTGGCTTTTAGGCCAGACCCTGTTCCACTCTACTTGGTCGCTTCTCCCTGGCACTGGAGGCCCCCTTGGGCCTTGGCCAGGGATCGGTGAGACCCCTCCCTCCAAAGGGCAGGATCACACAGGGGGATGGGATGATGGATGGGTGGAAGTGGCATCTCTGAGTCTCTGGTCTTCGGAAGCATAGTTGTCTCTCCAAGTTCTTCTGACTTGACCTCCTGTGTTCATACTTTGGCCTTTTACTCTGTTATGGGCTGGGGTGTGGTCACCCTCCAGGCCACGTAGCACCCTCCTCCCTTCTCCTGGTCTTCACACTCATTGCCCCAGGGAGAGCCTGGTATTGTGAGTTTGCAGTCAGAAGGTGGAGGGTGCTGGGAGGTCTGGAGAAGGGTGGCGGCACCTCCCGTTCAGGGTGCGTGTCCATGAGTCCCTGAGCCCGGCTTGAGCACCAGCTGCTGGGACCCCAGCTCTCTGCTGGCTTCGGTGACTACCCAGGACCCTGACACCCACAGTCAGGGTAGAGCAGCCCTGTCTGTCTCACCTCGGGCTCCCTTCTTAAGGCTCCCTTCCCTCCACACCTGGAGTCCCTCCATCCGGTGTCTGCTCCACACACACTCACCTCAGGCCAAAGCCCCCACAGCCTCACACCCCTTCCCACGAGCTGGCATCGTTACCAGAGACACTGACCAAACAACCCTCCAGATATGAGCTCTTACACTCAAAATGCACTTAAAACAGAAGGAAAAAATCAGTGGCGCTTCTGGTTAAACTGTCTGACTAAACTTTGAGGGAGGTCCCTCCTCCTGCTTCAAGCTTATAGACAACCTAACAAAACATCGCGTTGTTTTGTTAACTGCAGGTGCCGTGACGTTTGCTACACCCCAGGACTTGTCTGTCTTGTAACTACAAGTTCATGCCTTTTGACCACTTTCACCCACTTCTTCCACCCTCTCACCCTCCACTGCTGGCAACTACCAGTTTCTTTTCTGTCATTTATAAGGTGTTTGTGGTTTTTTTTAAAATTCCACATATAAGTGAAATCATACAGTATTTGCCTTTCTCCAAATGACTCATTTTATTTATCATAATATCCTCAGAGCCCATTTATCAAATGTCAAGATTTCCTTCTTTTTTATAGCTGAATTTTATATATATGTGTGTATATATATGTCTGTGTGCATGTGTGTGTGTGTGTGTGTGTATATATATATATATATATATATAGTCACATTTTCATTACCCATTCACCCGTCAGTGTGGGGGTGGGAGGGGGTGGGGAGGTCAGAGAAACTGTCCTTCACCATCACCTCCTCTGGCCCCTGTGGGTGAGAAAAAGCTGGTCGCCTAGGAGATGATGCTTGGCAGGCACAGCACAGGGACAGCTTGACTTTAGGCCACCAATAGTCTCAATGCCTGAGTGGCCTGTCTTCCTGCTGTCAGTTCCTCTTCTGGCACCGCCCAGGTAGCCTGGGCCTCGCCCCCCTCCCTGAAGAAGACGGAAACCGGAGTCTGAACAAGGTGTGTATTTCAGAAGGCCTGGTGGGTAAGGCTGGTCAAGCGACCACAAGGTTACGCCCCTGTGCCCTCGTTCTGCAGCTCAGGCCTTGGCGTGTGAGTGCTGGCGCCCTCCTCACACTGCCCGCGAGCTCTCACGGGCAGCGTGGGCCTCTGCCGTTCACAGGGATGGGAAAGGGGGAGATGCAACAATGACCTTTGCCTGGCAAACAAAGAGCTTTCAAAATATCAGGCTGGGGAGAGGGTCATTAAAGAGGTCTGTTAAAAGAGAGGCTTGGAACTATTTAGAGAATATGTTTATAAATTCCATTGTCCTAAGTAACTGGAAACTTCCACCCTCTTGCATATCCCAAATGCCTCAGCTCCACATCCTGCCCCACGGGACAGGCCTATACAACCAAGTCTACATGAGACACGCGCCACACCGACACATACACAGACATATTCACAAGCAAGCATACACACACACACACACACACATACACACACACACACGGCAGCTGCAGATGGGGGAGCAAAAAGTGCACTACAGGATGTCGGGGGCGGACATCAGGGGCTGGGCCTGGTGGGCCGAGGCAGTGGCAAAGCTGGGAAGAGGCTCCGGGCCGAGGGTCCTGACGGAGGGGGCCTGGCTGGCCGTGGAAGGAAGCCCGTGGCCCCGGAAAGCCGAGTAGCTTCCGTTGGGCCAGATTCTAGGTTTGGCACTGACGCGCCTGAGAATGCAGCCGGCCGAGTTAACTGGGAAGAGGGGAAACAGCTCGGGACAGTGCGGTCCCACTCAACTGCATGCTGAGGAGAGACGGCTGGAGAGGTGGACACGCTGCCACGGCAATAGCGCTTAGCTCTAGGCATTGACAGAAAGGGCTTTTATTCTCTTCATAGTTTGTGGATTTTACAAACTTTGTACAAAAATGTAGATAAAAGTTATAAAAACGTGTTCCTCCAAATGGTACTCGTTCACACCCGCACGGGCCTTCCGGGGAGGCTCAGGCTGAGGGCACGCGCTGGTGGACGGGCGTGGGCAGCCTCCGGCCGCTGGTGCCCACGTGGGCCCCGCCCAAAGCCATGCTCCAGCATTCAGGACCCCTCCCCAGCCGGGGCAAAGGGGCCTGGCCATGGGCCTCAGGGGCAATACTCAAGTGGACATGGGGATGGTGCAAGTAGGGGCTTGAGGTGACCATGGGGCCAGTTCTGCACTCTCAAGGCACTCTCCCCCAGGGGAGCCTTCCTGCTGAGGGACCTGGCCATTTATGGGAACAGCTGGGGCAGGACTCCCCCAACACAAGGAAATGTGAGGCAGGAAGTCCAGAGTCTCCGCTTCCCAGAGTCCTCCTGGGTTGGTGCCTGGGACAGGCAGGGGCTGACTGCCAAGGCAAGACATTGGCCGGTTGCCTGGGCTGGAGGGAAGGCAGGCGTGGGCACTGCTGGGTGGTGCCCAGGCCAGAGCTCTGGGGCATTTTCCCAGGCTCTTCTTGGAGGAGGATGAAGTTGCCCATTGAAATGACCTGCTTGACTGCCAGGAGGTGGGAGAGCGTCCCTGACCCTATTCCTGGCTTCCCGGCGAGGGACACAGACTCAGATGGGAGGTCAGAACCTTTAATTGTATTCACAGAGAGACTGGGAGGGGGCTGCTTGTTAGGTGGCCTGGTGCCCAGGGACGAGGGGGCAGGGGTCACAGAGGTTCTGGGTCTGGAGGATGGATTCTCAGCACAGGAAAGGAGGCAGAAGGGGAGAGGGTCAGGGCAGGAGGAGGAGGAGGGCCGGCTGGGGTGAGCAGGGACAGGAGTGGAGGGTTTGGGCCCACCCCGTGCACCTATGCCGGTGTCTCAGTGGCGGGCACTCCCTAACTGGCCAGCATGGCCCAGTCATCTCAGGAGTGTCTCAGTTCCACCTCAGAGCCGAACTGGGGCCCGTGGTGGGGCCGGTGGAGCCTGTGGTGGCGGATGCTGAAGAGCCGCTGGGTGAGGCCCAAGGTGGCCACCAGCAGGGCGACGCCCAGGAAGAGCAGCACCCACTGGCCCACTCGGGCCTGCTGTTCATCTAGGTCCAGGCCTAGGAAGTTGACGCGGCCGTTGCCCGGGAAGGAGCCTTCTGAGTAAGCTGGGCAGGAGAAGCAAGGAGAGCAGGGCAGTGGGCAGGGCTGGGGGCATCTCGGCTGCTTCCCTACCCGAGCTCCGAGGCCAGACTCGGACCCGCCTGGGCCGGGGCGGGGCCTGGCCTGAGCGAGCTCTGTGGGCCGGCTGGGGGCAGAGGCGGGGGCGGAGTGGTACCGGAGTCCGGCGTCCAGTTGTACTGAGGCCAGCCCAGCGTCTCCCCGTGCCGCCCGTTCTCGGTGAGGAGCCAGTCCAGCAGCGGCTTGAAGTAGTTCATCATGGCTGCCGCAGACATGTTGGGCTGGCCGGTGATCAGCCTCATGGCCTCCGGCCACGGCTCACTGTAGCCCAGCTTCATGGCGTCCCTGGGGAGCACCAGAGAAGGGAAACCAAGTCAGAAGGATGGATGGGGAGGCTCCCTGCCCCTCCTGCCCTTGATGCCTCAGCCTAACACCCACCAACCAAACCCCGTCTCCCACTCTCAACATCGCTGTGGGAGGGCCCGGCACAGTGAGGGCAGGTGAGGGGTGGTCTGCACCCAGGGGGCTCTAGTTTCCTCCTGCAGAGGCTCATCATGACAAACAGGCTTCACCTGGGAGTTCCCAGCCCGAACACCAGAAAGGCAGGTGTTCCCAGCAGAGCCCCATGGGGCTCCCCAAGGTGGAGGGGTCAGAGGGTGGCAAACAGCCAAAGGCAGGCCGGGAGGACTCACGCCAGGCGCTTCCCTGCCTCCTTGGACTGGTAGATGTCACACTGGTGCAGGGGGCCCTTGTGGCCCGCCGCCCGACACAGTGCCTCGTGGAACTGGAACTGGATGATGAAGCCCACGAAGTACCTGGAGGGGAGGGAGGCGTGGCTTTGGGGGCTGGCTAGGAGCCTGGGCCCCAGCCCTCGCTGCCCCAGCCCTCCACTATAGCCAGGAAGTCTGGGTGAGCCCACCCTGGCCTTCAGAGTCATCCAGGCCCCCTTCCACACCTCCACCCTCGAGGCTCTCTCCACATCTCGGGAGGGCCTGTGCTGAGCAGCTCTGGGGTCCCTCATGGGGGAGGAGGGTCAGCGCAGTGCCCTTTGGAGGTGTGGCAGGCTGCTCTGGAGACAGTGAGGTCTCCGTCCCTGGGGTATATGCAAGTAGAGGCCAGTTGTTGGGCAAAGGGTCACGTCTAGCTGGCAGGGCTATCTCGGCAGGGAAGCCAGCCCAGTGATCTCCTTAATCCCAAAGCAGCAGGGATTCCCTGGTAGAAATCTGCTGGTCAGCCGGAGCCACCTCTAAGTCTGCTGAGGTTTCGAATGTCCCAAACAAACAGCACAGGCCTCCCACTTTGAATGCTGGGCACAAGCCATGTGCCACTGACTTTTCTGGTGTTTCCTAAAAGTGCTTTGCCAAGGCTGCTGGTCAGAATTGGGAATGAGCCTCCTTTGCCCACTTCTGCCTGGAGAATTACCTACACTAAGCTCAAAAGCTAACCGTCACGTGGGCCTAGCTTCTGTGTGAAAGTGAATGCCAGCTTGGAAGCCTGGAAACCAGTCGAGAAGGAGGGTAAAAAGCTCTTCCTATGGGTCATCCTGGCACACTGTTAAGGTCAAGCCTGTTCCTAGGTGTCCTTGAATTTCCTTGGTCCCCTGCCCACTGCTGCTCTCTGGAGCACTGGAGCAGACTTTCTTTCCCTCCCTGCACCCTGAAGGACACAATTCACCTACCCCACACTTATGTATTAGACCTTGACTATGTGCTGACATTATGCTGCGTGCTGGAAGGGTGGGCACAGTGGGCCCTCCATCACTGGGTTTTCAGGGACCACAGGAGGCCAGGGCTGGACGGAGCCATAGTCCTCACTGCCCTCTGCATCTTGCCTCATGGGTGGCCTGGGCTACCTGCAGCCCAAGGTCAACAGGAACCCCACCTGAGGCCTCCCCAGCCCCCTACGTTCCAGGAGGACTGCAGACCCTGCAAGCACCCACTTAACCTGCCGCACATAAGAGGACGCGGAATGCTCTGGACACCTTCACGCTGCAGCTACGTGACTCACAGTGCTAGTGTGTGTGTGCACGCCATTTCAGACAGTGATTCAGTAACAGTGGGTTGTAGCCACCGTGTCCCAGCCTGCTATGCATTAGACCATGTGCTTAGAAGTTAACTGTTGCAATAGTCCTGTGAAATGGGTTTTCACAGGTGAGGGGAATGACACAGACATTGAGGAACATGCTTAAGGAATAAAAGGTGTGGGGACAAGATTTGAACCCAGTTCTGTCTGACCCCAAGCCCACAATCCCATGCCCCTATCAACACAGCCTCCCAATCTAACTGGGTCTCTAACCCTAGTGTTAGTGTACCGGAGGTCGTCCAGGTACAACTCAAATTATATCATGGGCAATATGTTCAATACATACAGTAAAGGAATCACAATCTTGTTAAGAAAAGAAAAAAAAAGAAAGTAACAAGGCTCACTCAGCCATGATCTAGCCATGGGCCATGGTTAATATGTTAACAACCCAACCTAGGTCTTATAACCAGTAGCTACTCAGGGTAGAGTTTCTGTTTTCAATCGCAGCATAGACGCTCTCACCGTACCAAAAAAACAAGACAATGGTCAGCCCTGGTTGTAGGTGAGTGTGCAGTGCAGCCAGCTACCCCCCTCACCCCCGGTCACCCCGACCAGATGCGGCAGTGACAGCAGTTTGAACACTGAGCGGCCTCCTCCCTTTCCCTTGTTACCTGATATAAGGGACATTTGAAGAAATGTGGAACTTGGCCCCTGGGTCAAAGTCACCTTGAGACCTGGCCACTGGTGAGCAGAGGCCCTGGTACTTCAGCCTGTCAAGGTGGAAGACAGGTTGGAGAAGGGTCTGAGGAGAATCAAGCCAGACAGGGTTGGCATTTTTGACTCCAAGGGTGGTCCTTGCACCTGGGGCTACACCAGGCGCCCCAGACTCTGGGGTGCTGTGTCTCTGTGCACAATCACCCCCACACACCCCATCACTCACACACAAAGACCCATGTGCACAGACACACACTCAGATGCTACAGACACAGACACACCATGTGCACACACACAGACACCCATGGAGCCCCTCTTCCCAACCCACACCCACACAGGAATGTTCTAGAACCTGAGGCTCCACCACTCCTGGTTGTAGTTCTCCTTGGTGATGCTTCCATCAAACACCCTCCAGCGCCACTGGTCCACAAGGTAGCTAAAGGGGATAAAGGCGATCTTGTCCAGGGCTATCTTCATCAGGAAGTTGATGTCTTGCTCTGCCAAGGGGAGGAAGCCTGCGGTCAGACCCACATCTGCCTCCTGCCTGGTCCAGGCAGCTCGCCGGGGGTGGGTGTGCGGTGGGTGGGGGCGGGAGCGAGCTGTACCTCTTTGGCTCCTGCAGCCTGCCTCTTGGGGTGGCCTGTGGGTTCCATCCTCCCGGCTCACTCTGCTGGTGGCCCCGCTATTCCCCATGGCTCTGTCCCAACCTCTGCTTGTGGGCCATTCAGTCCCCTCTCCCCTCATCCCAAGCTTGCCGCCCCTTCCTGGTCCCTGTGCCCACCAGGATCTCCTGTTCCTCTCTCACCGTAGCTGCCACCATCGCTACTCAACAGGTTGATGGTGTGTAGGTGCTTAGGGGTAGACACTGAGAGGGCCAGCACGTCCCCAATGGCTTCGTGAAAGCCAGGGTTGGCACCCTCCTGGAAGGTCACAGGCAAGTCCTTATACTGCATGAAATACTGTATGTGGCCCATTTCGTGGTGGGCCACCACCAGGTCCTCCATGTTCACAGTGGTGCACTGCTTGATCCTGGGAACACAGGGGTAGAGAGAGGGTGTGGAAGGGGACGGTGAGGAGCCCTGAGGACCTGCTGCTGTACTCCATACAGAGCAGACCCCATCACTGCCGAAAGCAGAGAGCCCAGCATTATGGGAAAGAAAACCGGGAGGAGATATGGAGTGAGCCTGAGAGAGAGGGGATCTGGGGCTTGGAAGCCTCTAGAGTGTGGTTGTTGAGGGCATTCCTCTGCCCCCAACTTTTCTGACTAGCTCCAGCCCACATAGCCACATTGCTTTCTGGCTGTGCAAAGTGCTTGCTCTGGAGACTCCAGGACTTTCCCTTATGGCCAGTGCAGGACTTTCTAGAATGTGGTTCCTGCTGTTTCTTATGCACGTTTTGGCTCTCCCAAGACTTAGGCTTCCTGCGGAGACACCAGTGTCGGAGCTGTTCCGTGGCCTGTGTGTCCAACCGCAGCAAGCATATTCGGCCCCGGGGCTTTCACAGCCAGGCCTGAAGTGACATCCACAGAGCCATTCTGGCCAGAGCTTCTGCCTTTCTCTCCATCTTTCCTCATTGTCTTTTGTGAGCCAATGAAGCTCTCCCGGGATCTAAGAGCCTTTTGGATCTGTCGACCCCATTTTTCTGCCATTCTGTTTGTTGGGAAGGGCAACAAGCTGCCCAGCATCCTGAGGCTCAGGTCTGTCCACCTTTTCCTATGACTCCCCCATACAAGGGAGGACCCCCCAAAAGAACTCTCGTCCCCTCAATTCTCTCTGCACCCCACTCTACAGCTGTAGCCCTTGAAGGAAAGGCCCAGGGCCAGTGGGCCTGTGAACCCTGCCTGGCTTGTTCCAGGCTCTCTGGGTCCACTTTTCTCGTAAGCTGCCACGGATCCTTTTTGCCACTCTCCCTCCAAAAAGCTGAGGTCTTCTTTCCCTTCTCTTGAATCTAGGTTGGACAGGCTTCAGCCAACAAAATCTGGCAGAAGTGACTCTGCTCGTTTTGGACTTAACCTTTAAGAGACTGGCTGTTTCTGCTTTTGCTTTGGGGATGCCAGCTACCAGGTAAGAAATCTCACCATCTGACTGCCATTCTGTGAGGAAGCCCAAGCTAGCATGGAGAGCATGGACCCCCAGCTGTCCCAGCCCAGGGACACCATGTGGGAGTCAACCTGAACATTCCAGCCCCAACACGTGCCACGTGGAGGAAAACTGAGGAACCAAAGCAATAGCCAGAACCAAGGCCACAGACAGATAGCTCCACTGAACCATCCCAGCCGCCTTCAGAGCTCCCGCAGCTGTGGGCTCTGTCACTGCAGAGCAGGGCCAAGCCACTCCGCTGTGTTGGCTGACCCATAAAGCCATGGTTCAGACCACTAAGTGTTGGGGTGGTTTGTTATGTAGCACCAGATAACTGAAGTGTGAATAACAGATAACTTCGGTGAAGGCACCCTCTGAGCTTCTGTTCAGTGAGGGTGGATCTGTGTGAAGTCACCCAAGTCCTCGTGTGTCTCCCTGTGTCAAGGTACATGCACCCGAGGAGAGGGCTAGCTGTATGCAGGGGCCGTCCGGAGTGAGAGAAGGCTGGGCAGCTCACACGGTGCACACACCCAGGACTGGGGTCTTGGGCTCTGACAACTGACCGGGCTGGCAGAGCTGGCTGGCATTTGAAAAGAACCTCACCTAGTAGATGCGTTTCTCCTGCCAAAAGCCAGTGGTCAAGCTGAGGCTGGGCCCTGTCCTCTTGACTTTCCATCCCAACTCTGGCCCTGCACTGGCTTTCACCTGCTCTGGCTGAGAGGGGCCAGCAGTGGAGCCTGTATTTGGCTTATCCCCTTGCCCGTGGGCTCAGAATAAGGTCCCCTGGCTGCAACCTGGACACACCTGAAGTCCTTGCCGTTGTAGAAGTCCCAGGCGGAGGCGTGGCATACCACCTCCCGCCCATCGGTCGGCTTCTCCAGCATCGACTTATTCCAGAACTCGGGGGGCACAGACAGAAGCCCCAAGGAGGTGAAGAAATTGTTCGCTTCCTCAAACATCCTTCTGGGAGTCCAGCCCTGCAAACAGAGGGAGCTTTGCCCAAACTGGGGACTGTGGGGGCAGACTGTGTGTCACAGGCGGGGAGGGTACTGGAAGAGGGCCAAGCTGGAAGGACCTGGCCCAGAGGCCCCCCTCCTCCCGGGGTGGAGCCCCCCCTTCCCTGTGCCCTGGGTCTCCCTGGAGGAGCAGGAGTGATAGAGAGGACAGGTGCAGACCTGCTTTATCATGGCCTCTGTGGCATCTATCTTGGGGGCCGAAGGGAAGGGAGCCACCAAGTCATAGATGTTGACCCAGCTCTGTGCCCACATGTTCCCTGGAGGCGGGTAGGGGAAGAAACGGTGGAGACGGGAGAGATCGGTGTTACTTCTTAGGCTCAGGGAGGGCAATCGGATCCCAGTCCTGCTGATCATAACGTCTTTCCTGAGTGCCCACTGTTTGCGAATTGTGCTGGGCACTTGATATACATTATCTTCAGCCTAAACATCCAGCCCACAAGGTCATTAGTTTTCTGGCTCACGGGTGAGACCCCTGCTGCCCATCAGGGAGTCAAGATGGTCCCTGAGCAGTGGGAACCAGTGTGACTAGCAGCTGTGTACAAACGCAGAAGCTTCAGGCCCCTGGGACATCAACGTGCACATGGCCACTACTTACCAAGAGTCAAGTAACCCGCCCAGGGCCCATGGCTCCTAAGCGAGGGGTCTGGGGCTTAAAGGCAGGGAGTCAGGTGCGCTCCTGCCCAGCCACTCCTGTGTCCCCTCCACGTTGCCTGGGGCTGTTTGTGCAGTCTCAGCCACCTTCAGGAGAGGCTGATGCCTTTGCACGTGGCACATGACCGGGGCCCAGTTCTCCAGGAATGGAGAACAGGAAGATATTCAGAGTGAGTGGAAGAGTCCAGAAATAGATTTGGAGTAGAGGATCTTTCATAGTCAAAGGAGCTTAAGCTGGAAGTGACATCAGGTAAAGTCTGAAGTACAACACAGTGAGAGTGAGTGAGAGAGAGAGGGGATGTGAGGGAGGCAGGGCCTGGCCACTCCGATCCCGGGGCCTGAGTTCTGAGCCCAGCTCTACCCCAGCCCCCTCGGCCACCTGGACACATGGCTTCCTTCCCAAGGTCTGTGCTTCTCAGTCATCACGCTGATACCTGTCCACCCTAATGTTCTTTGGTCTCACCGGAGAGGGGTCAAGGACGGGCCTCCTAGGGTGCAAAGACCCTCCAGGTTGAGTGAGAACTAGACCCAAAGCCAAACCAGCTTCTGGGTTCTCACCCAGGATTTGTAAATAGTCTGTGGCCCTTTCTGCTCACAGTGACGCGTTCCCGATGGTCCAATAAGGACAGGATCCTGGTAGCCTCTACTCCCCTCTGGTCCCTACCATCCCTTATCGTCTTTCACTGCCTGTTCCGTATGCTCAGGACATTTGAATTGACAAGCCCTGGAAAAAGAGGGCCCCAAAGTTGAGGTGGATCTACACTCTCAGGGTTCTTCTCTGGCCTCCTAGCTCCCTTAGGATGCACGCTGAGTCTGCCCTCCACTCCCTGCCCCGACTTTCCCACCTGCCAGAACCTCTCGTCTTTCAAGGCTCTGCTCACGTGCCCTCCCCCCGCCCCATGGGCCTCAGTTCCCACACACAGCCCCTTCCCTCGCTCTCCGGGTCACACTGCCTTGAGCTGTGATGGGTAACGGGCTCCCTGTGGCAAGATTACGAACTCTCTCCACTGTCCAACCCATGGTGACTTGTACCACGTGAATCTGTGGCAAGTGCGGCACCAAATGCTGGCTCTCCTCCCCGACCTCAGCCCCACCCACTCCAGCTGTGGCAACCTGCCCTCCACAGGCTCAGGCCTTTCTACTCTCCCGCCTGAAGCACCATCAGCAGACCCTTCCCCGCCTGCCCTCTGCTCTCTGGCCAGCACTGGCCCCACCCTCCCTCACGCCGGCATCTGTCTTCGCCTCCACCTGAAGGCCCAGCGCCTGTCCTCACCCAGCAGATGAGCCGGAATGGGACCCTCCAGGTGGATGTGCTGGGGCCCGTAGTGGCGGTGCAGGGCCCGGCGCACGTAGGCGTGCAGGTTCAGGTAGAGCGGCTGAAGCTCCTGGAAGAGCTGCTCCAGGTCTTGCTCCAGGTTTGGCATCTCGTACATAGATCTCCATGAGTCCCCTGTGTCCATGTAGCCTGCAGAGAAGACACACCTTGGCTCTCCCAACACTCGACCATCCCCTGAGCAGCCCACCACCACCACCTCCTCCAGGGATCTCCCTCTCGCTGGGCTGAGGGTTTCTGAGGACCTCTCTGAGGGCCCCAGGGGGCCTGGGACCAGAAAGCCAGTGACTCTGGCCTGAGGGACTCACCATTGAGCCGGGCAGCCTTGTTGGAGAGTTCCACATATTTCGGGAAAGAAGGGAGGATGGATCTTCCCACCTTGTCTCGCCAGGACTTCCATGCCCATAATAGATCCTCATATTTCCGGTTTGTGGCCATCAGAGTTGTAATATCTGGGGGAGGGGTTGTTAATTGGCTGGAGCCCCCAGCCCTCAGCCTACCTGCCGCCTGCCTCTAAGGTGAACTCAGTCACGGAAGTTCAGAGCTGCAATAAACCTGCACAGGCAGCAAGTCCAGTGAAAAAGGGGAAAGGGGATGTCCTTTCTACATGGCCTACAGGGTGGCACTGCAGGGACACCATATCAGGCCATTGTAGGCTTTCAATGTGCTTCTTTTCACATGAGCAGTAAGGTGACACGGCTGGTTCCCATGGCTGAGCAGGGCCCCTGCCTGGGAGAGACGGCCCGAAGGTCACAAGACCTGAGTTTTTACTCTAGTTCCTCATGGACCCTAAGATTACCTTGCAAGTCACAGGAGCCCCCTCTCCCTAATTACAAAGTGGGGACAACGCCGGCCCTCATGGGGGAGTCCAAATCAAAGGGGAACATGAAGTCCCTGAGCTGGGGTGTCCCCTGTGCATTTCCACGTCCCCACAGAGTGCAGGGTGTCTTCCACGGACTGTAGTCGAACTGGACGGAGTGAAAGAACCACGTCGCCAGGGGGCCAGAGAGCCTGGGCTTGTGGCCCGTTGGAGCCGCCGAGTACGAGGCCTCCACAGCACGGGCCACGCGGAGCTGACACGCACGCCACAGAGCTGGGCTGAGATGGCGTGAGCTCCGGGGTCGTCCCTCCTTGCCCTGGCCCGAGCCGGTCGGCTTCAGCCACCGCTTGGGGTTGTCCACGCTGCATTATCTGCCTGGCTACATGATAACACTTCTCACAGAGAAAGTACATTCAGATCAGTTTGGAAAAAACTACTCTGAGAATTCCACATCTGCCCCTGCTGATGTGCGCATTCTGCATTCACGGGTGTTGCTTATTTTCACTAGTGGCCGTGCAGTGACCAGACAGCCCAGCCCCAGATTAAGAGGCTAATTGATGTGGGGGAGGAGGATGAGGGCTACGTTCCCCTTAATGTTCTCCTCCATAAACACACGCAGACTCATATGCGCACACACACGCACACCACATGGGTGCGTATATGCTCGTGTGCACAGGCCCCCAACACTTTGCGTGCATACCCACGTACACAACCCTCAGGCCAAACCCTGTCCCATGAACACTGTTTTTCTCTCTTGTTTATTTTCCATTTCCCCTTCTCATTGTTCTAGCGTGGGAGTTGGGCAGAGGGCCAGGAAGAGACTATTTCTGGATGGAGATTCCTCAGCAATAGCATTTATACGTTTGGCTCCCCAAGCCTGGGAAGGGCGGGCAGGGAAGGAGGAGGTGTCTGGCTGTGTGCAGGTACTCGGGTGTCCAGGGGGAGCTCTTTCAAAGTGGGGAAGGCAAGAAGGGCCCGCCAGTGTGGTGAGAGACAGGGGCCCAGCCACACTCAGTCCGCTCTTTCCAGCAAGAAGTGGCGGTCGAGGGAGTGAAGTGGGGCACAGTCTGGACCACACAGGGGTTTCTAGGGCTGTGCCTTCAGTTTCTGGAGGGCAAGGGAGGGGCCAGAGAAGGTGGGGAAGTCGTGGAGAGGATCGAGAAAG